TGCCACAGCAAGGGAGTCCTGTTCTAGAGGATCACCACGGTCTCATAAACATCTATGACTCCATGATTCTAATAATGGAGACTTCGATACACTGGTATACTCAGAGGGGCAAGCTCTTGAAATTACTTTTTTCTTTAAGGAAGATAGGTTTGGGTTGCCACATGGACATACTCAAGTCCGCTGAAGCATTTTTAAAGTTGTAGTCTGTGTACTTAAAACACGGCAAGGTTACTACTGGCCACCCCGAGATGCACCCACAAAGAGTCTGTTGAAAGCTCTGTAACAGGCAAAAACAGCAATCTCAACAATTCTGCATGTTTCATAGTGCCTAATTCAGTGACCTTGAAAAATATGCTTTGCATAGAAAAATGGACCAAAAAACCAGGTGTGGTGGCACACTCCTGTAATTCCAGCACTCGGGAGGCTGAGGCAGGAGGATCAATGTGAGTTTGAGGCCGGCCTGGGCTACAAAGTGAGTCCAAGGCCAGCCTGAACTGCATAATGAAACCCAGTTTCAAAAAGAAAAAAAAAAAAAAAAAAGAAAGAAAAGGAAATAAATAAATAGACCAGACAGATATTGAAGGAAGTTCTAACCAACTAATCTAACAAAAAATAGGGCTATAAATTCTGGACTCCTTGGGAAATTCAGAAAAGTCTTGTAGAATGAAGTGGACCTTAAATTGGTTTTAAATGATGAGTGAGGGCAAATACACGGATTTGGGAAGGGTGCCTGTTATACAAAATAAAAATTAAGAAGCCATGGAAAGTGGAGGAAAAAAGAGAAAATACACATGCTGAACTGGAGAACTGGGTTAATGAATGAAGACACGTAGCTCAGGTGTGCATACACAATATGAAGCTGAACATGTTCCTCTCTGTATTTGCAGTCGAATCCTGACCTATACACTAAACACAATGAGAAAAAATGTACTTTAGAAAAAGAACATCCATCAATAACAGAGGGGTAAATTTTACGCAAATATCCAATTAAGAAACATCCTTGGCTGGGAATTCAAGAGGCCTCTGCAAGTACATGGGAAGTTCTGAGATGTACATTCTTAGGACAAGGAATTCTTTCTTCAAATTCTAAATGAGACTGAATGATCACAAACTGGTAAAGAAACCACAGATTTAAATAAAAATCAAGTCCTTTTAAGACCCATTTGTCAGAATTTAAGAAAATATATTTTCAATAAAATATGCTACTACAAAAATGGTATTACTTTTATTCCTAGCTACTTTTCTAGGGCTGAATATAATGTGTGGTACTCAGTACAAAGCATGAAGATATAAAGTCTGATAAATGAGAGGAAAAAAGTTTTTACTTGACAACTCAACTATATCACATTACATATGGAGAAGTAGAGCATTTCATACAACCAAAATAACATTTAAGAAACAGTATACCCATTTAAAGTCAAAAGACTGAGTAAAGTATTTCTCACACACTTATGCAGGTGGGTGACAAACCAAAGAGATAGTACAACAGTGCCCTCTACTGGATTTAACTCTTAAAGATAAACCTGAAAGAACTGACACACTCCTAAAGCATTTAACTTTTAAAAGGACTTCATGGAACGCTCCTTTCCCATAAATGTAAATTTAGTCTAATATTAGCATAAATACGGAACAGTCACTCTGTAGCAGTTTTAGTGTGGTGTGAAAGTGCAGAGAAATCAATCATGAACATGAAGTAACAACAACAACAAAACCCACTAAAATATTTTTCTTAAAACTAGGTAGGTAGAGTCTTGAAGCTGGAAAGGCTTAACATGCTCTTCCTTCTATGTATCTCTTCCAAGTTTGTGCCCAGCCTTAGCTTAAATATCTTGGTGCTATGAAACTCCCATCTCTGTCCTGTTCTGGATAATTCCTTACACATGTACACTACTTCCCATCTCATTCTATCCCAGCAGGAGTCTAATGCTTCTTTCACAAGGAAGCTCCCTGAGTACGTAAGGAAAGCAAATTCACCCCCACTGAATCTTTTACCCTCCAAATTAAATAACCCAAGTCCCTTCAGCAGATGTCTCTACTACAATGAATGTACCAAATCCTCTAACTGTGTATTCTTTATTGCTGTTACAACAACTCCCACAAATTTAGGTGTTTAAAAAAAGAAATGGGCTAGGCGTGGTAGCACACACCTGTAATCCCAGCACTCAGGAGGCTGAGGCAAGAGATTGCTGTGAGTTCAAGGCCCACCTGGGCTACAAAGTTCAAGGCCAGCCTGAACTGCACAGTGAAACTCTGTCTCAAAAAGGCAATTAAAAAATAAAAAATATAAAACAAGAAATGTATTTATAGTGTTTTAGGTCACATGCCCAACACAGGTCTCACTGAGCTAATATCAGGTGTCAATAGAGCTGTATTTCTTTCTGAATGCTGTAGGGGTAAACCCATTTCATTACTTCCTCTAGCTTTGAGAGGCCACCCACACTGCTTGGTGCATGGCCTCCTTCCTCCATTTGCAAAATGAGCAATGTTGTGCCTCTCTGATCAGTCTTTAGATAATCACATCTTCCTCTAATTTGGACCTCAGCTAGGGAAGGCTTTCACGGTCCTTTGTTTTGTTTTTTGAGGCAGGGGCTCACTGTGTAGTCCAGATCAGCCTTGAACTCAGTGTACAGCTCAGGCTAGCCCTGAACTCATTATCCTCCTGCCTCAGCCTCCTGAGGGCTGGAATCATGGGTGTACACCACCACACCCATCTCAGCGAAGTTATTTTTAATGTCTTGTAATTAGGTTTAAAAACCACCTAGTAATCTAAAATGATCCCATTATAGTCTTTAACCTTCATCACAGCTGCAGGAAGCCTTTTTTAATGTAAGGAAATATATTTTCAAACTCAGAGGCTGAGGACTGTATCAAATTCCCTCCCATTTGTTCCTTCTAAAGTGGAAAGCTCCACCTGAACATGGCACTCTGAATGGCCAGTGCTATGTAAGACAACTAAGCCAGGTGTGGTGGCTCACTAATCCCAGCACTTGGGAGGCTGAGACAGGAGCATCACAGTGAGTTCAACGTCAGCCTGGCCTCGTAAGTGCCTGTCACCTTCCCCACTCCAAATACTGTATGTTATGGCTTAAATATGAAGTGTCCCCCAAAGACTCATGTCTTAGGGCTTGATCCCTAATTCAGCAACATCCAGAAGCAAGGCTTCTGGAAGGCAATTAGATCACTGGGCATCAATGATGAGTTCATAGCTGAATGTGCTGTCAGGAGGGGGGCTTCACTGGAGGTAGGCCGGGGGGAGCGTAACCTGGAAGGGTCTGTTCTTGTCCCCACTCCCTTCCTTTCTCTCTTTCTGGCTCTTCCTCTGTGCTCCAGTTCTTCATGGCAGCCATGAGATGAGCAGCTCTTCTCCACCCTTCCATTGTAATCCTGCCTTGGAGCCAGCAAACCATGCACTGAATCCTCGAAACCATGAGCCAAAGTAACCCCTCCTCCTCTAAGTTGTGTACTCCAGGTATTAGGTCACAGTGGTGGAATGCTGATCATGTACTACACTCCCATCTCTGGACTAAGATCCAAAAGGTCATCTCTATCATATCCCTAATTCTTACAGCATAGTTATATACTTGTCATTAATTCTTTACTAACACCTCTCAGCCTTTTCTGTTAACACAGATTCTAAGCCAGTCCTGCCTCATCTTTTACTTGGAAGTTGTTTTTTTAAACCCAAGTAAAGACCTATGGTTTCTCCTATTAAATTTCATATTGTTAGATTTTTCCTTGTTCGAAATCTTTTGGGATCTTAATTCTAAACACTCCACCTATCTGCTATACTCAACTATGTCATGTATACCTATAGTATACACTGTATCACCACTGATAGAAATTATGAACAGGACAGAGTACTGCCTTAGTTACTTTTCTCACTGTTGAGACAAGACACCTCTCATCAATGTAAATGGTTATGATTAGAACCCATAGGTGCAATCTGAGATTACAGAATTTTTTTTATATTTGATTTTATAGTATAAAAAATATAGTTTTATGTTTATCCTTTCACTTAACAAACAAAAACAGCTAAAGTAAACACAAGGGTATTTCTCTCCTCTCTATCATTGACTATAAGAGAAGCTACTTTTTACATTTTACTCCAGAGAATAAGAAAGTTCCTCATAATTGAAATGACCCTATCCTAGGACTACTATAAAAATGTTCATGTCTGCTTAAAAGATCTCTGGAGTTCTGAATGAATCTCTTTCTCTGATACCATGCCTCACTAACAGTTAACGCTCAGTAAATGTCTGCCACTGAATGTGTATCTTTTAAAAATATGGTATCGCAGCTGGAGTTAGACCAAGTATTTAGCATTTGGAAAGCCGTGGGTTTTCTTGGGAGGCTGAGGCAGGAGGATCACTGTGAGTTCAAGGTCAGCCTGGATTACACAATAAGTACAAGACCTACCTGAACTATATAGCAAGATCTTGTCTCAAAAACAGAAGCAAAGGGGCTGGGGGTTTAGCTCAGTGGCAATGCGCCTACCTCGCAAGCGCAAGGTCGTGAGTTCAGTTCCCGGTAAAGAAGAAAAACCAAAAACAAACAAAAAAAAAAAAAACAGAAGCAAAGCCAGGCGTAGTGACACGCCTATAACCCTAGCACTCAGGAGGCTGAGGCAGGAGGATCACTGCAAGTTCGAGGCCAGCGTAGGCTACCAAGTGAGCTCAAGGCCAGCCTGACCTGCATAGCAAGACCCTGTCTTAAGAAGACAAAAAAAAAAAAAAGGAGGATGGGGGACCAGTGGAAAGCTCTGGGTTGATCCCAAGCACCAAAACAAAAGAAAAAAAACAGGTAGTTCTGGGATGAATAAACTAACTGGAACTAACAATTCCTTCTTTCATCCATTCACTTAACAAGCATTTGGTAAGCAGCTATAAAATGCTTCAATCATTCAATGAATACACAAAATAGAAAAAAAACAGGATTTCTATACGCCCATGCTTTGAGACATTCCCAGTGTGCATTTCACATGTGTGTGCAAATGATCTTACCTCTCTTACCAACACCTGCGGTGGGTAGGAGACTGAAAACACCAAGCTGGTGAATTCAAAGCCAGAGGTCTCGACCTTGTGGCATACCTAAAAAAGGGTTACAGTCACGTAAATCCCCACAAGTTGCTGAAAATACTACTCTCATCTTCACATAACCATCCGGTTCAGGAGATAACATTACAAAACTTCCAAACTTTCTCCTTTGAGGGCTAAGAATGTAGCTCAACAATAGGGTACTTGCTAGCACGCACCAGGACCTGGTTCCATTCCCAGCACCACAAAATAAAACAAAACATCCCCCTCATAAACATCTTGGATTTGCTCACTATGATCCAGAAAGCTAATATCATAAGGTATGAAAATAGCCAGAACTGACACCTGCAAAGTAATCTAAGTGTCAAAATGGTTTTCTATTAAGTCACCTCATAATTTTTAAGTGTTTTCAAATAAAAGGAAATCAAATATAGCATTCTTCACTACAGGAAACCAAAGGCAATTCCACATGCAGCCATTTACTTTTTACCTAGCTATAACACTTATCTTTTCTAGGTAATAACAAGAAAAACTTTTAACTCTAGTGATGTTAAAGAACAAGAGGAAAGCAAACCGCTATATTTTTCTTCAGCTGAGTAGCACTAGTGACTGCAATACATGGGCACAGTTCCTTAATCTTCAGATATGTTGACACGAAGGAATGTCAGAGTAGCAGGCTTGTTTTTTTTTTTAAGTTAAGAAAACATCTTAATGATTCATTGGTATGAAACAAGTTGAAATGAGTGGTACTGTTCCTTTCTGTACAAGAATTCTAAGCCTTAAAACTGAAACTCTCTATATAATTATACCTGTAATAGAAATTATTTACCTGTTTAACGAACTCTTTCTCACAGAATTCTTGCAGAATCCCTAGACAAACATTGCACACAGTTAAATCCAAGTTCTTGGAATCAGCGCTTCCATCTCCAACAGAGCTCCCACCCTCTCCGTTTTGACTCAGATCATCAGTCCCGTCTTCCAACTCCTGTAGCCTAATTTTCTTGGGAGCGGGATTTGAAACTTCCAAAATTAATTCATCTTTTTCAGTTTCCAAATATTTCTGTAGATCATGGAGCAACTCCTGAAAAAGTAACAAAAGAAAAAGCAGTCACCCTTTCACAATGTCCTTAAAGATTTCTAGATAAAATGAAGCAGGAAACATGAAAATTCTGACCCATCAGAGGCTTGTACAACACTGACTTATATAAATTCTGAAGCAATCAGTTTACTTTCGTGGCCAGCATTAGCTTTGTAAGAAATTCAAGGACTTAAATAGTTCCTATTACATATGTGTGAATATTTTCTCAAAAAAGTTCTATCAGTGATGCTAAAATTCTCAATCTTAGGCAGAAATGCTCCATCAACAAATTTATTAATTTGGTTTGTACTTCTATTGTGAGGGCTATTTGCTTGTTAATTTCAGTAAAACAAACTTCCATTCTAATTAACATATTAAAATACAAACAGGGCTGGGAATGTAGCTCAGAGGTAGAACACCTGCTTGGCATGCAGGAAGCCCTGGGCTTAAACCTTAGCCCTGCAAAAAAAGAAATAAAAGTAAAAGTGAATTTCCATCCTTGCTAAACTAGGATTTAGGATTTAGGAGATTTAACAATCTCCTAAACACTAAAGCCTCATAAATATTTGTTTAACATGAAATTTCATTATTTAGACAGAGACTATAAATCTATGAAGTAAAAAATCATTTTGAGACAATTTATTACACAAAGTGCACAGATACTGGCAGTGCTGAAATTTGGCAACAAAATTACAAATGATTTATATGCATTAATTGAAAGAAGCCCTCTACTGTATTCTAGTTTGTGTAATTTCTGTCATTCCTTGTTTAAGAATGCAAAAGCTGGCATTACTTTGAAAATATTCTATTCATCTAAATAGCCAGAAGACTTTTCTTCTTTCTTCCAAATTAGAGTTTTTATTACTCAGTTGAATATCTTTTTGAAATTCATTTATATTATACTGACTCAAAAGGAAAAAAAAAATCTTTCAAACAAACAATTCATTTTATTGAGACATTAGGTCTTCTATATAACAGAAGTATATATCCATACATATACAGCTAATTATGAACCACACAAATGTTTATTATTACATAATTCCTGTAATGTCAGTATAACACAGTACATATATATGCACATGTACATATTTACTAATGTGAATGGAACAGATCAGAATTTAAGGATATTTAAGGTCTTCAAATATTTTTACTACCTTTATTTATACAAAATGTTACAAATTATAACTGGTAACTATCTCTATATAATACATATTTTGAATCTTACAGCATGGGTATAGAATAATAGACTGTAATATTTTTTTAAAAATGAGCCAGGCATTGTGGTGCATTACTGTAATCCCAGCATTCAGGATGCTGAGGCAAGAGGACTGCTGCGAGTTCGAGGCCAGCCTGGGCTACATAGTGAGTTCAAGTCCAACTTGGACTACAGAGTGAGACTCTGTCTCAGAAAAACTAAAAATATAAGGGGCCAGGCATGGTGATGCACACCTGTAATCCCAGGACCCAGGGGGCTGAGATAAGAGGATCACTGAGTTCCAAACCAGCTTGGGCTACATAGCACGACCCTGTCTCCAAAAAAAAAAAAAAAATGTCCAAGAGACGTTACACAAACCAGTCTTATGACTTCACAACTTCATAGTCACATTGTGTGTAGTGAATATGCATATTAATCATTATCACATAGGTATCACTGCCAATTTTCAAAGTGCTTTCACATACTTTATTAGATACTCTTTTAAAATCAGATGAGGCAGATGTTATCCCCATTCCCATGTACAGAAGAGTAAACTGAAGCTGGAAAATGGTGGAACTGGGATTCAAATCTATGTCTTCTAGCTCCAAATCCTAGGCATTAGATTCAGACAGACTTCAAATCCTAGCTTGCTCATTTAGTAGCTGTGTAACTTTGGGCAGGTTACTTAACCTCTCTGTGTCTCAGTTTCTTCATATGAAAATAGAGACAATCATAGTATGTATGTACCTAATAGGCTACTATGAAGGTTTTTTGGAGTTTTTGTTGCTGTTGTTTTTAAACAGGCTCTCACCATGTAGTGCAGGTTGGCCTTGAACTTGCTTATGTAGCCAGGCTGGCCTCAAACTCACGGCGATCCTCCTGCCTCAGCCTCCTGAGTGCTGGGATTACAGGTGTGCACTACCACGCCCAGCTATTATGAGAATTATATGAAAGCTTGACATATAGTAATGGAAAGCTTTATTACTATTTCCAAAATAATAGGAACTAATCATGTAAGGAAAACGATAGCTACTGCTAACTTCTGGGCAATTATTAAAATAAGAAACAGAGTATGTGTTTGAGTGTATATATTTACACATATATATATATATATATAACTATTTGCCTCTGAAAAGAATGCCACTATTGAATCAAACATATTTCACAAATATGTTCTCTATTTTACGTGAAAGTATTCTACTAAATGACAAAACTGTACATTACCATGAATGTCAAAGGTCTCTATTAACATTTGTTGTCACTAACAGCAGTAATAATGATGATAACAAGCATTTACTTCTATAAGGTCCAAAGCTGCATGTGCCACATTTCTATCATAATGGACTGCATATTCGAAAAGCAGCCCCTTAAGAGTCTATTGCCACTCCCGGCCTCGTAGGCCCCCGGAAGGAGGGCTTCCGGCGCACAGGGAGCCATGGGTGGGGAGCGCCGGTCTTCCGGCTGGCTAGCTTCCTGCCTCGTAGGCTCCCAGAAGGAGGGTCCCAGGTGCACGGGGAGCCTCGGGCAGGGAGCACCAGTCTTCGGACCGGCGGCTCACTCCCGGCCTCGTAGGCCCCCAGAAGGAGGGCTTCCGGCACACAGGGAGCCACAGGTGGGGAGCGCCGGTCTTCTGGCTGGCTAGCTTCCTGCCTCGTAGGCCCCCGGAGGGAGGGCCCCCGGTGCCCGGGAGGCCACAGGGCAGGGACTGCTGGCCCTTGGGCCGGCCCCCAGCCTAACAGGCACCTGGGAGGAGGGGATCTGGTGCAGAGGAAGCCACACGGCGGTGAGCGCTGTTGCACGCCGGCCCTCAGGCTGGCCACCGCTGCTTCGTTGAGAACTACCATGACACAGAGAAACATTGACACAATTGGCCCACCATGCACCGGCTGCAGATGCCCACCCACGAACATGTGTGAATCATTTAAACATGGAGAAACCCCTAGGAATACATGCCATACAACAGGTCACTCTTGCTCCTGCCAATGAGAACCAGAAAAGTCCAGAGTCAGCAAAGGAGCAGCTGGTGAACAAGGTCTCCAGGAGAACATGAGAATACAGACTAAGCCTGAGGAGTCAGAGGTTCCGTGGACTGGGTTCATGAAAACCAGGAGGACCTTGCACAAAACCTGCGAAGACTCTCTGGAAGCCATTCTTCCCCTGACAGTACAGGCTGTGGTGGAGCTCTGGAGAGGTCTG